TGAAAATAATGTAAAGCCTTATAGAGATATAAGTAGTGTATATTTGAAAAATAAAGTGTCCTCGGGTACCCTCTCTTATTCGACTAAATTCTCGTACGCTAAAATAAACATACAAAAACTAAAATATGTATATTCTGGATGAAGGTGGGCAATTAAGTGCGCATGAACTGCACATTATGCCCATTAGGAAGATTATCGCATACGCATACGCAAATCTCTATCGACGTCGTCGCCGGTGTAATGAAAACGGAAAGTAATCGCAATTACCGACCGGCGGCGTGTGTACGCACCCAGAGCGAGGCAGAATAAATCGCTTCGACCTTGGGGACAAAGAACATTATTATAAAAACGGACAGATCGCGCACGTCTACGTTGCACTGTGGAAAACCGCAACGGGAATTATTGAATTCCAACGATCGGATCCGATTTGGAGAATCGCTATTACGCGATGGTATTCCAAACGCCGGGGATGTGACCTATCACACGCGCACCATGAAATACCGAGAACCGAAAGATTTTTTTATTTATTCCGCGGCGTAAAAAGGCCATACTGTTTCTAAGTACCCAAAACTAACTAATTTTTTTACTGTGATTAGAGGCCATGACAGACAGTTTTGCTGTAAGCCTCAAAAAACCACCCAATAGGAGGAAGTGAGAAAGTAAAAAGCATAGACATATACATTCAGTCAAAGAAGTCTCCGTAAACATAGTATTTTTCCAGTTTTCTTTTGGTTTCTTCTTTCACTTACATTTAATGAGAAATTATCGGCAATCTCATTAAAAGTAATAAAAATAAAATAAAAATCTTTTGAGACACTTTATTTGAACGATAAAAAATTAGGCACTATTAGAAGCAAGAAACTACGCCAAATAAGTCTCCATACACACTATTCAGAACTGCAGGTGGAACTGTTAATTATCAATATTTTATTAGCTTGTATTAAATTTCGCTAAAAGAAATGGGTTAATGAGTTACTTGTTTATTTTTGACGCCATTTTTAAGTAATTGGTTTTGAAGTAAAAGCAAACTGAGCGCCAAAAATTGCAAAGTTAGAAAGGGAAAAAATCCTTCAAACATTCAACTGTATAGTATGTAATAAATCAATATATACCGGATCTTATAAAGTGCGGCCACGCTTTGGTCGTCCCAGGAAGTTAACTGTATGTTGTGAGAACAATTAAAATTACTTCTAAAACAAGCGCTCCAAAACTTGCAGAGGAAATCTGGGAAGAGTACTAAAAAGAAGCCCTCAAACGATTAGAAACCGCTATATAACGGCCGCGTTGACAAAAGGAAACCATTAATTTTGGAAAAAAAAAACGTTTGGAATTTGCCCGACAACACATTAACGAAACCAGGGAGTTTTGAGAAAACGTTATCTTTAGTGACAACAAAAATTAATCTTTTTGGGTCGGGCTACAGTTTGGAGTCTGAAATTCGAAAATATTTGTCCTACGGTGAAGCATAGTGGAGGTAATGTTTTCTTGTGGAGGTGCACGCACTTTAGCTTTTATTGACGGAATCATGGACCACCATGGCTATTTGAACAACCCAAAGAATAATTTAAACGAAAGTGTTAAAAAACTTAACCTCGAGGGGCGTTATTTATTCCATATGATGAATGATCCATAATGTCTGCCAACAACTGCAAACACCACCACACAATCTCGGGATGTTAACCCCATAGAGCACATGTGGGAAGAATTAAAACGACGAGTGAAAAAACATCAAGGTACGAGTAAAGAAGACCTCAAAAATAGGATAAGAGAAGAGTGGGAAAACATATCGCCAGAAGTTACAAGAAAGCTTGTTTCAAGTCTTCTAAAAAGACTTAATGCCATTATTAAAGCAAATGGCAATTGTCCAAAATATTAGACTTCAGGATTTTTTTTTTAATTTATCATAAAAAATAATAGTGTACGAAGACTTATTTGACTTAGTATCTTGCTTCCAAAACTGCCTTATTTTTTGTCGTTTAAACAAAATGCGTTTAAAATGATTTTTATCACTCTAGATGAAGCTGCTCCCTATTTACTTGAAATATATTATTTAATGTAAGTGAAAGAAGAAACTAAAGGAAAACTGAAAAAATACCTTGGGTACGGAGACTTTTTGATCGACTGTAACTCAAGGGAGATTATTTTAAGATGATGGAAATATCTTGAGGACCTGAGACAATGTTGCCAGAGCCGGGGTTTTTTTACTGATACACCATACACAGAATATGATTTTTATATGTATTCAAAAGCATAGAAAAAATTTGAAATATCAGTTGTGGGTTCGAGATAGTGCAGCAACATAAAGGTGCGTGTCCGCAGTCGCGCAGAGCGAGGGCGCTCATGTGACGGGGTTCGGAGTTCGTTGGGAGGAGTAGTGCCGATTGGAACTGGTTACTGTTCGGAGGGTTGTTTATTGCATCAATTTTTTGGTGTCCGTCGTCGAGCCCGAGAAACACGCCGACAATCTGGTATATGTTGAATTATAACCGAGTTAATTGTAATAAATATCTGGCAAGTCTGGTTGGTGTAATCCTGTTTCTGTCAACCGAAGAACCCCCACAAAAAATCCCTGAGACGCGGGGAAACATTGCACACTCAATATATGTTAACACAATGTCTTGCTAATAATTCCTTTTTTTAATATAGGGATATGAAATTTTAATGTGAAAACGTTACAACAAATAAAAATTACCCCAATGTGGTGGAGTTTTTAACCTCGATTTTACGTGCGAATTGTAATATTACTTTTATTTGAGAAAACGGACTTTTTGAAAGTGAAGGTGTTTTTGGATGTTGGTGTTACATATGGCAATAATGCCGCAACATTGTGAAGTTTGTGTTGAGCTTGGCGCTTTGAATATGTGTACGTGAACAAATCAAAGACGCGTGTGCTATTTTCTTGTTTTGTGTATTTTTGCTTATCATTGTATATTTCAAAAGAACGCACAAATTGTGGTTTTCAAAATCTCTAAAAACGTGTCAAAACGCTTTAATTTTACTATTTATAATGTAATTACGAAATATTGTTAAATTATAATATTATACGCCCATGATTTATTGCCCCTTTCGGAAATTATTTTCTCCCACCTTAGCTAGGTTACCTTATCAACCAGTCAAATTTAGACAACGCCCACTCGCCCCTTGCCTACATAGCTATTACAATTACATTAATAACAATAACATTACAATAGTAATTTGGGACGTGGGTGGTAAAAAGTAAAGGGTTGAGAGCGAAATTGGTTGGGCGATCTTTTAGTGTATGCATAGTGAATGCGGTTATAGCGCTTGGTCACTTTAATTGTTTCTTTGTTTTTTAAAGTGACCATACATAAATTGGAGACTGCCGATGTATGACAGGAATTAAAGGAACGAGATTTTGACACCAACAGCAACGAAATCTGCGTTGCCTGAACGACTTACGCAACGTTGAAAGCAGAACGTGAAAATCGACCTATTTATTTGAAATTGATCGTGGTATTGCTCGGGATTGGCAAATATGAACAAGAAATTATTGGAGAGTTGGAGATATCTGAAAAATATTGAATAAAAATTACCGGTTTAAAAGCTTTCCAACTTCTGGGTTCATTTATCGCAATTTATCAATAATATAGCCTAACTCCTTCATACTGTAAACCATAAATTAGCTGCTTCTGTATCTGTAAGTGGAAAGGGGAGCCTACACCACAGCACTTAGACCTCAGTAGGTCCATCGTGCTTCCTAATGGGTAGAGCACTCCGATTTACATCAAGCCTAGTGACCCCACGCAGGCGATGACAGCTCGCAGAGCCGTCTTCCCTGATTACTGCAGGGGATTTGCCAAGCACATGACCGTGTTTTATTGTCTCGTCGCAATGTTGGCACACCCTGCCCGTGGTCGTACTACCCAAACCCAATCAGAATTGGTCGCTGTTAAGTAAGCAATAACTGTGGCCATGCATAGCTTTCTCCTGAACATACTCAGGTATTGGCTTGGCTGTTGATTTTGTTTGAAAACTCAATAGCTTCCTTCCTAGCTAGCCAACTTTTTCATCCCATTGTTTAAAAAAAAAATCCGCGAGTTCTCCTTTATTTAGATGTATGTTGCGGGCAATGGCAATAGTGCCCGGACGGGGTAAACAATGTCAAAACTAACCAATATTAATGCTCATACATTGTCATGATCACACGATGCCCGTAACATATATATTCTCTATATTTCTGGAAATTTTATTGATTTTATTTCAATTTAATTGCTCAATATTAATAAATAATTTTAACATTCGTGATATGATTTCAACGTATTCTGAACTTTAAACCGGTCATAATTAGTTCAACAAACGAATCTTTTTGATTTTTGATTGATTACTAAAGTACTATAATCTCTGCCAAATTTATCACTTACGAAAGCAGAACAAAGCACGTGAGAAAAAAATCAATTTACAAAAAAATTTATTTACGTAATTATAACATTTAGTCCGAATGAATGAATCACCCTGTGTTACAAAAGTAGTTAAATTTTTAAAGATGTGACGGTTACTTTTGTCCGACTGAAACGGTAACGCCGTAATAAAATAACAAATGACAAACAATAACGTTACAGGCTGAAAAAGAATCTGCGGAGATCATCTTTCAACAATTTATAAGAAGTTTTCACACGCTAAAGTTTTAAATCGTGACGTATACATAGAACAAATTACGAATTCATAAAAGGCCATTTGACAACAAGTAAACAACCAGGATTGACAAAGAAGACAACTTTGTTTCGCTAGGATCTAAAGCCTCACTAGCTTCACTCCAAAGGACCGTGTATTTGCAAACACAAACGAGTATTTCGACTTGTCGAATGAAAGGGATGGAATAAAAGGACGTACTTGAATATAGGTAGACCTAGCGCAGTAAACTTGGAGTATTACTTTAAAAAATAAAAGTTTTTTTATTCGGAAACCATTCAGTCTTAAACGATTTTCCTTTGGAGGGTCGAATTTTTTCAATATTTCAAATAAAGCATAATTTGACTAACCATTTTGAGCGTCTCTTCCGGTCTCAGCAGGTAGAACATAGATTGTAAATGTTTCTGTATCGCGCTGCTGCTGCCCGACATCGAACAGCCCCCCATGGCAGCGCTCTGTTGGCCGTTCGATGCCAAAGCCGAACACCCAGCGTGTTGGATGCTGGCGTCGGCGTCGGGCAGTACAAGGGCCGTGCCCTTGCCGGCGAAGTAGCATTCGCTGAGGCTGTAACAAAAACAAATGGCATTCGTTAAATTTATCCAACACTTCAGTGAATCATTTTTCTATCTTTAAAAAATAATAACTCGACATTATTAACTGTTCACATATCTTAGATATCCATAGGACATGTAAGTAAACTTTCATGAAATAACTAGGATGTTATTTTGTGATATCCAACTCACAGGTATATTCTACCACTACAAATCTATAGCAAACATAGTGATACCACTCCGAAAAGACGCCAGTTTGTGGAGACGATAATTATTTAGCTTACCTTTTAGACCAATCACTAGATGCAGAACAAAAACTTTCGGCTACAATTAACATTCTACTGACTGTGTATTACATGACAGTTTATTGGACAAGTTGTCATGCCATTGCATAATAGGTATCTTTCCGACTGTATTTTAGTTCTGCAAAACGCATAAGTTTCAAAATGTTCTGAATAGGATCCAACTCGTTATCTGTGAAAGATCAGAAGAAAAACGCCTAGAATTAATAGACGTCGTATGAAAACAATATATCCCCAAAATTAAAAAATAAGACGTCCGAGAGGAATCTGCCAAAATTTGAATTATGGTGGAGAGATGTAAGATAACCCTGACGAGAATTTTCAAAATTGACAATTTGGGCACAAATGCTAGAACAACTTTTGAAGATTAAGAACAAAATAAGTAAAATGTTAAATATTATGACCTAGGGACGTAATCAATTGCTAAAATACTGTTATTATTACTCTCCAAATTCGTAGAAAGAAGTTGAAATGATTTTTTTCAAAAACCGCCTCTGAAGTGTTCTTCAGAACGTAGATGTTTTATACACTATCAATCTCGTCCGCAATAAAACAGAACTGCAAAAGAAAAGCCAAATCAACCGGTAGTTTAGAGTTTGTTTGAAACGGTCACCTTTTACTCCGCTTGTATCTCATTACCGCTCGGCATATAGGAGTGTCCCAATTTGACGGAAACGAAATCCTTGAAAAAGGAACTTAACCGCAGAAATTCGCGGAGAAACGAAACAATCGTTATTGCGACATTACGAAACCCATTTTCGATGCTGTTTGGTTCTCGTCGGAGAAGTGGCCTCCGAGAGGAGTTCCAGTCCCCCTTATTCGTCCAAACTTGAGCCGTCGTAAAACGGCAATAAATACGAATATTATAACCGAGTTTTTAATTCCTAAACTATAAAGTCCCAATATGTTGGCTTCCTTTTTTTGTAAGAATTCCTATCGATCCATGGTGAAAAATAATATTAAATTTTTATCTTCTGCTAATTTAAAACCATTAGTTTCGTTAGCCACGGATGCGAGTTACATTTCAGGTATTTTAATCATGTTTAGGTAGGTTTTGACAGATTTTAACCATGGATATTCGTGCTGCTATGTAAAAAAGTACCCAAACACTAATGGTGGTAACAGAACTATAGTATGCAATGAATTTATAAAAATACTGGTTACGCTGCGCATTGCTCGTGTCAAATCAAATTCGTAATTAAATTAGCGTTTATCAAACCTGTTCAACATTATTCCCTTCATGTCCTCCAATAAATTATTCATTAATCTCGAAAAACGTAATATATAAATTTAAAAAGTATTCTAGGACTTGCGCTACTACACCACTGGCTCTGCGTAAGCCACTATTGCACCGCCCTATTCTCTAAATCACAAAAACTCTTATATTGACTACGGCAAGGTAGCAATAGCCATGCTTGTCGTAAAATTACATACTTCTAAATTTCTTTATATATTTATGTACTTTTATCCCAAACAGTGGAACTATTAAATTTTATGTATATATAAATTTTGTCCTGATGCCTTACTAAACCGAACAACCACAAATTTTAGGTTAGTTATTGGACTATTATGGATTCCTGGGATATCCATGAAAGTATTATAAGTTTTTTGAGAATCGATTGAGAAGTTATTGGCGAATCGCGAAGGCAGTGCGCTCTGTAGCGGATCTTTAAGCGCATACACAAACTGTTTATTTATTTTTTGTAAATTACAAAGCAAAAGCCTTAAGTCAAGATTTGCAAAAGGAATTATCGACTACAAATAAACAAGTTTTTTTTTTTATAGGCGTCACCTCGGGATACACAGGTGCAAAACACGTACAGAGATATACGGTCGTAACGGGTTTTTTTACTGAAGTAATATTTTTACGGCCTCATTTAATAAAATGTTATCTGATGTCACGGAATAATAATAGATTTTGGCATTAGAAAGTAGTCATTCGGCTCCTGCGTATTTCGAGGGCCTCTTATTTTACATATATTTTGCCAATATCCTAACGTTTATGGGGATATTTATGTTGCGAAATTCCTGCAATAAATTCAAATATTTTAATATATATTTCGAAGAGATTTTGTCTTGCATTTTGTTATTACTGCTGGTGTTACAAAAACTTTCGGGCAAAAATACGACAAGAAAATTGGAACTATCATAAGGAAAAATATTTTTTTTAATTTGTAAAATTTACAATGCAAGCGGATGCTTTCTTCAAAAAATTACTTATTAATAATAAGGCAACATTACAAAGAAATTTAAAACCTACAAGGAGGAGTACATAGATAAAATACAGAGACAATATAAAAAATACAATATATACAAAAATAAGTATAAGACAAAAATACAAAAAAAAGTTGCAAAAATGTCATGTAGGTATGTAAAGTGCGCGTTTGACGCAAGGAACGATATCCTAGTCCTCATTTTCTTTTTTGAGTTTCTTAATTGTCCAAATGGTTTGCCAAAAAATTATACCCCATACGTAGGGTTCGCGTGTTTTGTCACCTGTGTTTTGTATTTATTTTGTTCATATGAAAATTACAATTAAACATTGGACATCACTTAAAGTCGTCTAACTAAAGCAAAGACTACTTTTTAATTTTATAACAAAAACATTTCGTTTGATAAATATTTATAAAAATTCTGATGAGGATGACTTAAAATTATTACTATGAACCGAAAATAAAATAGGTGATTTCAACACTAAAACCACATCAGTTGTCCACCAACCGGAGTTTTCTTATTACATCGATGTGAGCAAACTCAAATTTTAAAATCAACCTAAGCCTGGAATCAATTTCTTTTTTCTACTCCTGTCTGTAAAGTGCCTAATTACACACCGGTCTAGCGTGCGGGAAGCGTCACTTTACCACGTCAGTTTCGTTTCCCACGGATTCGAGCCACTTCGGGCATTTCCGGGATTTTACCGCACGGGTTTGGGAGCAATCCGATGTTGTCGGAGACTACCGCACGGTTTGAATTTTGACGTTTGTCAATTCTGACGGTCATGTCAGTGAATGTATTCGTATTTTGCGAAAATGTACACAAAAACAAACGGTCGTAGAAAAAGTATAGTATCTAATACGTTCGGTAAACTTTTTAAGTCACTCGTTAATTAAACACTGGCTCCGCTGCGTTCCACTCGTGAGTCAAATGCCGTTTTCCGCACTTGTTGCATAATATACTAATTCTTCCAACTGTGACCCCACTCACCAAGTTTTGCATCCTCACTCCCAAATATGCTAATTTATGGACCAATTGTTATAAACAAATTGCATATATTGAAGCGAACAACCTTACGGACGTGATACTTGAAAATTGTTGATAAAATAATTCCAATTTGTTTGTGATTTAAGATTGGGAGGATCGACTTTTATTGACTCTGCAATATTATGACTAACGCAAGATATCAATCACGCCCAAGTTTCCGACGCAGAGAGAAGATTCTAACTTAAAAACTTAAATAGTGTAGAACTTATATAGACACAAGTGAAAGGATATATAGCAAGACACAACATGACAAAGACCTTAAGCTACTGTTTTATGAAATCATGAAGGGAATGACACCAGAGAACTGGCAAAAAGCCTTCCAGCATATCAGAGAGGAGAAAATGCGAGAAGCTGGCTACTTGAGCAACAGGACCCTCGCATAGAGGTATTATTATATTATTTTAGGAATTAACAAATGAAAGAAACCATGTTTACTTTTTTGATATTCTATTGTGTTGTTTGTAAAGTTTTCTAGTTGTAGACTTTAGAAAAAAAGAAGATTCAATATTTGACATAGTGTTAGTTAAAAAATAGACAGGAATTAAAAGCAAATGCATCAATTTTGTACCATTTCCAAAAAATTGTTTTCATTTTCAAAAGCTGCAAATTGTAATATTTAAAGATATTTCTGATACAATTTACTTACATTGCTCTATTACCTTCTAGTCAATTACGCATTAGAGTGCCAAAATTTAAAAACGATATGTTTGCTGTTTAGTGATTTCGAAAATTCTGTTGAGCAACTGCACAATAGAACATAATTTTTTAATTAGTATAGGTTATGGTCACCTACTTACTGTTACGTACTTTTTTGTAGATAGGCACATAAAACATTTGTATTATATTCCATTTTTAATTTTAATAGAAATAAAACACCTGATTTACCACATACAATTAAAAGTAAAGTTATGCAACCAGTGTGGTAAACGGCATTGGGGTCACGAGTTTATTTGGCGGAGCGACTGTTTAATAAACGAACGACAACCAAACGTGGTGCATATCATATTTTTTCTACGACCGCTAGTTTTGGGTACATTTTTGCAAAACAACACGAATACATTTACTGACATGACTGTCAGGATTGACTTATTCGTAATCGTATCTCGGGATATGTTAGAATTGACAAACGTCAAAATTCAAGCCGTGCGGTAATTCCCGGAAATGTCTGAAGGGGCTCGGATCCGTGGTACAAGAAACTCACGAAACTCCGTGGAAAACGAAAATTTTCGCACCTAGATCGGTGTAAATCACAGAAAGGGAATAAAAAAACAAATTTTAAATACTATACTTGCGTCTAGAAATATTAAGCTGAATATTCACTTAATATACTTGGTCAGAGTTCATAACATTTTGCGGCAATTTTCTATGTTTAATTAATTTATGCTTGCTTGTTTTTTGGGAAGCATCCTTTTTTTGCTTCCGCACTTGACTTGCTTTCTTGTCGATCGTGAGTGTGATCTCCCAAGCCAACCCGATAGATGCTTGAAGCCCCGGCCGGGCACTCGCACGCCGACGCAGTATAAGGTGCGTGATTTATTTGCTAAAGGCTGTTGTATATTTTTTTTTGCCCGTTTTTGTCATTATTCGGAAGGAAAGGATGTGTTGCCACTCCCCAGAACCCAAAAATTAATTTATAAAATCAGGTATTTATAAACATGTGGGTAGGGCCTTAAATATAACTTAAAAACTAAGCTAAAGGTCTTTCCCCCACAAAAAGTTAAAACCTAGACTTCTATGTTTGTATTTATTACCGCCTAAATTACCAAAAATGCGTCTACCCGTTAAGAGGTAAACGACAAGGGCAGATGACAATTTCTCAGCTGACGAAAAATGTTATAATCTTTTATAATTCAATTTCTGTATAACGTATTTTGTTTAATGTTTAATAAAAAAGAAAAGGCTAACTAATACAATGTGCATGATGTGAAATTCTTATTCTGTTAAAATACAATTCTTCACTTTTCACGTGGACGCTTTTGGCCCACTATTTTCAGTGTTTATGAATGATTAACGATAAACAAGACCCATAAATTCGACTTAAACCCGGGCGGTAGTACCACCAGTCTGTAAAAAGAAATAATTTTGCAATGAAAGTGGCTCAAATATTCGTTGGGCCCCTCTCTAGTCCCTTCGCATACCCAAGTAGGTTGTGATAGTCTTCACCTTTTGAAACATTTTTATCGACAGCATTTCGATACAGGTGACCTTAGTTCTACAATTACATAGTTTTGGGTTCTCCACATACCTGCCGACATTGACGGCAAACTCCGGTGAGACGATGAAGTAATTTGGAATCGTGAACCGCTAAATCCAAAAACGGGGAACGAAAGAACGACTTCACACAAACACACACACTGCAACCGACAGACGAGCACTCGAGGCAAACGCGTAACGATTAAAAATATATAAACACGTAAAACGGAACTCGGCGGGATCAACCGATATCGGCGTCACGCCAAAGAATCTGATGTTGCGGCAGCAAAACCGACGAAACCAAACCCGCCGATACGCAAACAAAACGCGATAATGTTAATTTATTTATTCGTAGAAACGCAAATGCAAAATTTAAAGGGTTCGAATCGACACGTTCGAAACGACGAACATGTCGTGGGATCGAGACGAACGACTGGCTCGCAACTGCTTTAAAAATCGCGGGCCGATCAACGTTCGACGCGAACAATGTAAAATCTTATTTAATTTATTTTTGTCCTTATTTCGGACGGCGGCGCGGCGGTGGACGGGTGCAACGCTCGGTACAAAGCGACGCGAACATACTGAACACGCGTAGCGGTTTTCGCGGTTGTCGGAACAAACGGAGCGGCTTTTTTACGCGGAAATTCGGGAAGGTGCCAAAACTTACTACGTCGATAGTGAATGGACGCCTATGCAACGCGGGATCTGACCAAGTGGGTCAAGTAGACAATGGCGGAACGCCGAAATAAACGGGACGCGGAATCAAAATTATTGTAAAACACAGTAACAAGTCAAAAATTTGACATACAGTGACTCACAGCTTATATGATCCAGTCGCTATAACAAGAACTAACTGGTCTAAATGTCTCTTTATTTATTTGACAGAAAACAACTTATTGAAATTAAGTTAAAGAGCCTTCTAAAAAAGGGTAAATTACTTTTGTCTTAAATATGCCTTACTTAGTTAACAATAAAGAACTAATTATGCAATATTAACGCCACAGCTTAAGTAAAACTTATCAATTTGAAATTTAGTTTGACATTTTAAAACGTTTTCGTTCAGTAAAACGAATATTTTTAAAAATGGGTCGTCGGAATACAATTTCTGAGAGAAATTTAATTATTACTCATCACAGAAATAGATACAGCCAAGGAAACATAGCCAAATGGTAAATAAATGCCCGTCAACTGTTGAGCGTTACTGTAACGAAAATAGGGTCGAGAATAAGATGGATGGAATCTAAGAGAGGTATCGAATTATCCAAAAAAAAAGTGCTCCAAAAACGTGTGTAGAGGTGGAAAGACAGTTTGGAAGAAGGTGTGACCCCGAAACAATTCGACGAATCCTCCGAAAACATAATTTACATGGTCGAACTGCCAGAAATAAGACTTACATTAGTCGAAGAAATAGACGCGTGAGATTGGCATTCGCTAGAGAGCATATCGATAAGGATTTGAATTTCTGGAATTCAATATTTGCCGATGAGACCAAAACAAACTTATTTGGATCCGATGGAAAAATATCAGTATGGAGAAAGCCTAAGGAAGAATTAAAATTGAAAAATTTAAAAGCACCGGTAAAGCACGGTAGAGGTGGAGTGATGTTACGGGGCTGTATGATATCTGCAGGATTAGGTATAATGCATTTGATTGAACTAACCACTATGTGTATTTGGATATATTAAGACAAAAATTAAATATGGTAACAATTATCGGTTCTAACATGAAAATGATCCAAAGCACACGTCATTTCGGGTCCGCAGTCGATTGCTTTATAACTGTCCAAATATTATTAAGACACCAGCCCAGTCAACAGACTTAAATATAATTGCAAATTTGTGGGTGCCATTAAAAAGACAAAGTAAATAGTGCCCCAATATCTAACAAGAATGAATTAAAAGTAAAAATTACTGAAGACTACAGGCCCCACTAAATATTAGCAGTAGTATTTCAAATTATGCTCTATTGGTTTGATTATATTTTGTTTTGCATCATTTAAGCTGTGACGTTAATATTGTATATAATTTAATTAATTCTTTATTGTTAGCTAAGTAAGGCATCTTTAAGATAAAAAGTAATTCACACTTTTTATAAGGCTCTTTACTAACTTGACTTCAATAAGTTGTTTTTTTTTTCAAATAAATAAATAGACATTCAGACCAGTTAGTTATTGTTATCATTTAAGCTGTGAGTCACTGTAGTTTCAAAATTTTTCTCCAATTCAATTTGTCGAATAGCATTTTTATCTCGCCCCGTAGCTGTATCAGAAAATGCCTATAGCATATCTTTTTAAAAAAAATCTTTTGTTCAGTCACGTATGAATCAAAATACAATAAACAGTTAAATTAAAGCATCGTCAAAAAATTGACATAATTTTAGAATTTTTCAAAAAGTCTCGCCGTGGGGTTCCCTAGTTACACGAGAAAATGCCTATTCAAAACATAGACCTTTAAAAAGTATGTCTTGTTCTCTCAATTATATTCAAAAATACTATAGACACTATTCGATAATTGACTGGGTGGGATGTCGACAGGGCTCTAACACTTCTTTACGACATTCTAAACAATATTTTTGTCGTTTGCACGCCCACTAAAACACCGAGACGAAGGCGATTGATTTCCATCATGGTTCACCAAAGAAATATATTTGAGAAGAAGAGAGTTTTATGCAATTTCAAGCAACATAACTCTTCTTATCATTTTGGCAGATAAAACGCACTGCGCCAGTCAATTAAGTTCCAGTCGCGCATGGCCTATACTGATTTTGTTCGTGCTTAAGTTAGCATTTATTTAGAGTAAGAAGGCAGATTCGCGAATCCCAGCCGCGGTGTCCTATGCCATCCCATGGGCCTAGTATGGTTGTCGCAACATTTGCAAAGTACTTTGGTAGCAATTATACCCTATCCCAGCCAGATCCATGTATATCTTCAACCGTGTCCTTTAATTCCGACCTCCTCAACATACCTAACCTTACCATCCAGGATGTCTTATCCGCAAACCGAGCACTCAAAAACAAAATAACTGCCGGTCCTGATGGCATACCAAGTGTCAACGTGAGAGACGGTTTCCACGCACTGTGTGCTCCTTTCTGCCACATCTTTAACCTGGTACTTGAAACGGATGTTTGTCGAGAACCTTGGAAAATTGCGAAAGTTTCACAAAAAAGGTGATCCTTCCGCATTTGAAAATTACCGGCCTATTACGATCTTGTGCAATTTTTAGAAAATATTGGAGATTATATAATATTAATTTATTTTTGCTAAAATTAGAAGTAAACTATCTACCGAAAAGATCATCTATCACCAACTTATATCTGTGACTTCCTGAACAAGTAAGGTCAAGTTACGTCATATACACTGACTTCTACAAAGCGTTTGACCAGACCATCACTTACTGATTAAAAAGGCGTCTCAAAAATTTCGTTTCTGCGATTCGCTGATTTCAGTGTTGATGTCCTATCTGGTGAACCGTCGACAGCTGGTTGAGATTGAAGGGTTTAGATCAGTTATTTTTGTTCCAATTTCTGGTATCCCTCAAGGTTCTACCTAAATTTATAGACGATCTTATATCACTATATCACTGCAATAAAACCAGGACAGTGGTGTATCTTAACATCAGCAAGTGTAATGTGGTTTCTTACCACAGCACAAAAACCCTTATAGCCTTTAATTACAATATGGATGGTACTATCCTGACTAGACCTGCCATTGTAAAGGATCTGGCGATTTTATTTGAACAGACGTTCTCTTTTGCATCTCACATTGTAAAATGGTTTCCGGTGCAATGCATATTTAGGGATTCGTAATAAGAAATTGCAGACATTTTTGTAGCTCAGCTATTGTTAAAGTGTTATTTAACTGATACGTTACGTCTAAGCTTCACTAAGACTCGGTGGTGTGGTCACCAATATATAACTGAGAGGCTCAGTCCATTGAGAGCGTGCAGAGAAGGTAGTTACTGAAGTATCTCATTTTCAGGGAGAAAGATTCATATCCCAAGAGGGGAGTTGATCACGATATTTTGCTGGGAAGGTTCGCTGTAGTGCCTATGAGTTTTCGCAGAGACCTGCAATTCGTTTCATTTCTCTACAAGTTAGTTCATTATTGACTCGAATGTCCGTTTCTTCCGAAACAATTACGTTTTCATATGAGGTGCATATTAGTAGATTTAAGATTAATATTTACGTCCCCCGTGTATATATATTGTATAATTCATATTTAACATTTCCTGTATTTGGGTCATGTTACCTGTTGGAAATAAAGTGCTATTATTATAATTGACAAATCAATTAGAATTAATGAAAAAAGCATCAAAAACGGACACAAAGATGCAACCATAAATCACTATAAATAAGATATAATATAATAAGCTATAAATCATTGTTTACAAATCCATGCAAGAAGAATAATGTCAAAGAGTTCAATCAGGTTACGCTTAATGATATTTGTTTTTATTTTTAGTTCAAGATGAAAAAGCTCTTTTATATTTATGACATGTAAACGTAAAGCGATTGCAACGAAGCAAAAAGTCGCTATAAATGTTATTCTCAGTACCATATCTGGCGGCTTAAAATACGATAAAAAATGAATTTTGTTGTTAATATATGTTTTTTTGCGAAAAATAGTGTTTTCGTAACAAAAAATTACCACCAATAAAATCATCTTTATCATTGTTACAGAAAAACATACTGATTGCAATCAAGTTGAGAAATCATCCGATGAGTGTGGGGATGTACATGTTTTATAGCCTTAAGTTTACATGCTTAAACATAAAACTTAAACAAGGTTCAGCCCAGTTAATTTTAGTTTGATAATCTATTATCTAATCTATTCTAATTTAGTTTTGATAACATATAGTTTTTAAATAAATAACAATAGTATACTTATTTTATTATATCTTATATTGTGACGAGCTACCCGAATGGGCTGAGCCTGACCCGTCTCCATTCCAAGAACTCTCGAAAGTTCCACCCTTATCGCGAGCAGGCGCTGCGATTTATAAACGCGGAGTGCCGCGCTCGCTTGTGAGTTAGTTGAAACGAGAATCCGGAGCGCGCAAACAAATAATAGTCGTACGTATAATTAATGACTATGTTATTTTTCGACAAATTGTTTATTAAGTTTTACTTGACTTGTTTAATTTCACCATGGCGTTCGAAGAAACCAGAGCAATTTTTGTCAATCCAAAATACGCAACAATATCTACAAGATCAGACAAATCATCAATAAAAGGCCTAACACCCGGTATAAGCAATACTTTTTACCTTTTCTCGCAAAAATGAGTAAACGAAAACTAAGGTGTTATTTTTGGGAAAAAACGCTAGCTCATTCAAGAATTTTAAGGTTGTCGTAAATAAAGAGAACATTAAAATTACCGATTCTTGAAAGAATTTGGGTGTGTTTTTTAATAGCAATCTTCATTTCGAATCGCATGTTTCTTACTTACTTCAGGGAAGTTATGGGAAACTAAGAAATATATATTTTTAAAGATATTTAAAGATAT